CGGGGCCTGGGGCGACGGTGCGCGCCCCGCGGTGCGGTCCTCGGGCTACTCTGGTGTCCCGCGGGGCCTGGGGCGACGGTGCGCGCCCCGTGGTGCGGTGCGGTCGTCGGGCTGCCCCGGGTTCCTGTGTGTGCGGCCTGGGGAGACGGTGTGCGCCACGCAGTGTGGTCCTCGGGCTGCTCCAGTGTCCCGCGGGGCCTGGGCGACGGTGCGCGCCCCGCCGTGCCAGAGGTGCTCCCCCAGGACTCGCCCTTGCAGTTCTCCCTGGCTGAAGCTGCCTGTGCACCTCCAACTCCTGCCTCTCAGCTCTACCAGAGCCTTTTACAGGCATTTACTTCTTAGCAGCCATTGTCCACTACCAGCAACGACAGTCTGTCAGTGAGCAGCTAGTTTATTCTGAGAACGTAGCATGCATACTTAACTCTCATAACAGTTTTCAAAGTACGTGATATTATAAATGAGGATTCAGGGTCTCGCCAGCGACCCTCGCTGACAACATGACCTGGGTTCAAGGAGCTGGCTGCAACAATAAACTAAGAAAATGGCCAAGAAGTCACTCAACACATGGACATAAGTTTCTCACATCGAAGGTGGGATTGCTCTGTGACTTCAGGGTCAACTTCCACCCTGGATGGCTGGAAAAAGAGAGCATGCACCTGAGACCTCTTTATTTTTATAGAGATGACACACAAAGGACTCTTGATAGAATATTCTACACCAAATAAAGCAGGGGATGAAGTTTCAGAGGTGGAGTCTTGCTTCATGATGTCTTGTGGTCAGCAGATTGATTGACATCTTTGCAATTCACCCATCTCAGGTGCTGTGTGAGATCACAGGCCCAGTGAGAGGAGAGGTGCACTTGCATCCCACAGCCCAATCAGTGTACAATGCCAGACCTGTCCCCTCATATAGCTACAATGTGCATAGCTCATACACACAACCCATGGATGGCTCATGACATCAGGGAAGTAATCTGTTCAATAGCTAAAAATTATGTTGTTATTTGAATAAAAACCTTGCAATCTAGAACTTTCTATTACATCTAGTTTCCTTTCTTCCCAGATTCCTTTCATCATAGAATTGTCTTTTCCAAGTTCCCATCTCCTCCTTTTTAGCCATCCTGTTTTAGCTAATGGTGCAAATATTTGCTTAGTGAGTTTCCCTTGGAGTTTTGCTAAGTATTTCCTACTTTAATATCTTTTTTTTAAACCAGGGAATGATTGCAGGGGAGCTTTACCGCTGAGCCACATCCCCACCCCTTTTTATGTTTTGATATAGGGTCTCACTTAGCTGCTTAGGGCTTTTCTAAGTAGCTGAGACTGGTCTTGAACTTAGGATCCTCCTGTCTCAGCCTCCTAAGTTGCTGGGATCACAGGTGTGTGCCACTTCCCCTCTCCATCTTCTGTATCTGATTATCACACTTGCTGATTTTATCATAGATATCTCTTGAATCGGTCCCACTTTTCATCATCTCCATCACCTCGTCTCATCTTCCTTGCTGAACTAATTGAAATTGGCTCTTAACTGGATCTGTATATTTCAGGTTCACCTTCCTCTAAGCCATTCTTTTGTATCACTTGCTAGAAGGATGTTTTAAAAATGCAGATCTTAATAGATTGCTTTAAACTTTAATACTACTCCCTGAAGTGCACAATGGAATAATTTAACTATGCAAATTCTTTCATGATCTGCTTTTTAAACTTCTCTCCTGTTAGTCCTGTCTCTTCCTCTAGCTTTATCCCTCTATTGACAGATCCCTGCTGAGCAAGTTCTGCTCTTTCCATCTTTCCATTTTTCTCTTTTGTAGAATTATTTACATTTTGTGAAATAATTTTCACCCTCAGTTAGATTGGATGTTATTATCAGCATGTTTGGTCTTTTATTTTATCATTGTTATGTTTGGTACTGGGAATTAAACCTAGGGACACTTTACAACTGAGTTGTTACAGCCTCAGTCCTTTTTATTTTAGTTTTGGGACAGGATCTTGCAAGTTGCAGAGGTTGGCCTCAAGAACTCATGATCCTCCTGCCTCAGCCCCCTGAGTTACTAGGATTACAGGCATGGACCACCACGCCCAGCATGTTTGGTAATTTAGCAGAGCTTTTCTATATTATCTTTCAGTAGCTACAATCTATTTCCAAAGATTTTTAGCCATTTTACAAAAATTCTTCAACACTATATGAAATTAGAAAAGACTTACTAAAAAACATTTTCACGAAACACAGAAATGTCACATAATTGTTTTTGGCTTGGCTACCTTATGGAATAAATTTTAGTATTTTTGATTGTTTCCTACATTCTGACTTTTGTGACCTGTTTTATTAGAAAATATCAGCTGGGCACGATGGTTAACACTTACAATCCCAACTATGTGGGAGGAGGCAGGAGGATCACAAGTTTAAAACTAGCTTAGAAAATTTAATAAGAACTTATCTCAAAAAATAAAAAGGGCTGGGGTTATTGCTCAGTGGTAAAATTCCTTTGGGTTCAATCACCAGTGTGGGGGGAGTTCATTGCTGATTGTGATACTAGGTGTATCAGGAGAGGTGTTGCATCAGAGAAAGGGATGCTCCCCAGGGAGGTCCTCAGCACAGAACTGGCCACCTCAGCAAGGTTGTGAAGGGAATTCCCTGAAATTCAGTACTGGACAGTAGAACACCACAGAGGCTCGGAACGTTGGGAACTTCTAACATATAATATAAGAAATAATCCATGAGAGACTTGGCGGTGGAGGGAAGGGGCACAGGCAAAGAGGGGACAGCGTGATGTGGCCTGGGGAACCCTGGAGAATAGAAAGGGAGCAGAGCTTAATGGACCCAGAGGCAATGGGGCAAGTTCTTGAGTGAAAAGCAATGAAAATTGCTTGGCCCTGGGAACCATCTGTAAGCACTGCCCGGTCATAAGCAGAAGCCCACTGATAAAGCCAACACCCAGGGCTAACTGCTGGGAGCCCCGGCTAGGACTCTGCAACACCCCGCAGTGGGGGACACGGTTGGCCCGCACTCCCCCGTCCACCCCACCCTGTGCCGGAGACAGGAAGCTGAGGGCCACTAGAGCCAGCCCGGACTCCGAGCCACAGCAGCTGTCAGCTAGGTGAGGGACACAGGGACGGTGGACTTACCCCCAACCCTGACCCCGGAGTTACAGAGCCCAAAATCAGTACCAAGAACGAAACTTCTCCTTTGCCAACAGTTTTGGCCACCTCAGCAGAAACAAGCCCTTGATTTCTCATTAAAGAAGTAATGAGAAATATTGTTGTTTTTTTCTTACCCATATCTCTCATTTTTAATTCTACTCTTTATTCTAATTTTTAAAAAATTTTCAGATATTATTTTTTTCTATTCTGCGAGACTGTGTGTGTATGTGTTTTGTCACTGCATAGATAGGTTCAAATATATGTTTTTTCATATAATTTTACTTCCATTTTCATTGCTTTCTTTTACCCCTGTTTATTATGTGCCTTGTTTTGACATAGGTGGGGTGTGATTATATGTGGGTTTGAGTTGTTTTGATCTTACATTTGTTTATTCCTTGATTATTTTTGTCCCTCTTGTTACTCCTTCCTCATTCTCTTCCCCCATTATTAGCCAAATTTTCCTGTTCCTTCTTTCACTCTTTTGATTTTTAAATTACTTTTATTTATTTATTATCCTCCTCCTTTATCTGCTATTTCCTGCCTCTCTTCTGTTCACTTCCTAATATTCCAAACTTTTTCTTGCCTTCCTACACTATTTTCTCTTCACCTAAGAAACTGCAGTCCCACTGTCTAATAGAATTATATAGTTTATGTAATCTCATAGGCAAAGACATCTACAGGCTGAAAGTAAAAGGATGCCAAAAGATAGTTTATGCAAATGGAATCTGAAAGTAAGCAGGAGTAGCTGTTCTCATATATGACAAAGTAGATTTCAAGCAAAAATTAATCAGCAGAAACAAAGAAGGCCACTATATACTGGTAAAGGGAACAGTTCATGAAGAAAATATAATGATAGTAATATTATGTGCCAAATGTCAGTGCACCTAATTACATAAAAAATGTCTTGATATTAAATCACAGATAGACCCCAATATCATACTACTGTGTGATTTCAGCACACCCTTGTCACCAATAGATCAAACAAATAAAAATCAATAAAGATATTTCTGACCTAAATGATAATATAAATCAAATGGACCTATGAGACTGTTTCACTCCAAAACAGCTGAATTTATTTTCTTTTCAGCAGCTCATGGAATCTTCTCCAAAACAGCACATATTCTGGGTTTCAGTGTATTAGTAAATACCAGTGACACACACAAAGTCCCATGCATCCTATCAGATCATAATGGAATGAAACTTGAAATCAGCAGCACGAAAAATAATAGAAATCAATAAACACATGGAGATTGAACAGTAGTCTTAAATGAGAAATGGGCCTAGAGGAAATGAGAGAAATCAATAATTTTTAGAAACAAATGGGAAGAGTGACATATCAAAATCTCAGCATGAAAGCAGTTCTAAAAGGAAAATTTATAGTATTGAGTGCCTACTTAAAAAAGGATCCCAAATAAGCTTATGCTTTACCTTAAGACCTTAGAAAAGGAAGAAAAAATTCCAAAATTAGTAGAAGACAAGAAATAAACAAGATTAGAGCCAAAGTTAATGAAATTGAGAATTAAAAACAGCACACAGGATCGGTGCAACAAAGAATTGGTTCTTTGAAAAGATAAATAAGATTAATAAATCCTTATCCAAACTAACCAAAAGAATGACACAGAAAACCCAAATAAAATTAGAGATGAAAAAGGAGATATCACCACAGACACTTCTGAAATTCAGAGAGCCATTAGAAACTATTTTGAAAATTTATACTCCAGTAAATTGGAAAATCTAGAAGATATTGATAGATTTCTAAACATGTGTGACCAAATTCCATCAGGAAGTTATAGAAAACCTAAACAGACCAATATCATGCAATGAAATTGAAACAGCAATTAAAAGCCTTCTAACAAAGAAAGCTGGAAGGGAGAAAACATTCCCAAATACATTCTGTGAAGCCAGTATAACTCTGATCCAAAACCTGACAAAGGCACATCAAGGAAAGAAAAAAACAAAAAAACTACAGACTAATATGATATCCCTGATGAACATAGATGCAAAAATCCTTAATAAAATATTAACAAACCATATTAAAACACATCAAGAAGTTAAATGGGTTTAATCCCAGGAATGTAAATTCTTAATAAAATACTAGCAAAGTGCGTTAAAAAACACATCAAGAAGATATACACCTTGATCAAGTGGGTTTCATCCCAGGGATGTTCAACATATGCAAATCAATTTCACTATGTAAATAGAATTTAGGACAAAAATCATACGATCATCTCAATAGAGGCAGGAAAGGTGTTTGATAAAATTTAGCACCCGTTCATGTTAAAATGCTAGAGCAACTGGGAATAGAAGGAACTTACCTCAACACTATAAAGGCTATATATGACAAACCCAAGCCAGAAACAACATACTAAATAGAGAAAAGCTGAAAGCATTTCCTCTAAAATCAGGAACTAGACATGGATGTCCACATTCACCACTTCCATTCAATGTGGTTCTTGAAACTCTAGCTAGACCAATTAGGCAAGAGAAAGAAATTAAAAGGATAGAAATAGGAAAAGAAGTAGACCAGTTATCTCTTTGCTAATGACATAATCCTATATCTTGAAGACCCAATAAACTCCAACCAGCAGACTTCTAGAGCTAGTAAATGAATTTAACAAAGTAGTAAACTGTAAGACCAACATTCATCAATCAATAATTTTTTTTTATACTCCAATGGTGATTCTGCTGAGAAAGAAATTGGGGAAAATAACAACAAAAAACGAAACCAAATCACCTGGGGATTAATATAATCAAATAGGTGAAAGATCTCTACAATGAAAAGTATAGGACACTAAAGAAAGAAATTGAAGGAAACCTTAGAAGATGGAATGATCTTCTGTGTTCTTGGATAGAGAGAATTAATATTGTCAAAATGGCCAACTACCAAAAGCAATGTGTAGATTCAGTGCAGTCTCCATCAAGGTACCAATGACATTCTTCACAGACTAGGAAAAAAGCCGTCCTGAAGTTCATTTGGAAGAAAAAGTGGCCCAAAATAGCCAAAAATAATACTGAGCAAGAAGAGTGATGTAGGGAGAATCACAATACCTGATCTCAAATTGTACCACAGAGTTACAGTAAGAGGAACAGCATGGTACTGGCGTTAAAATAGACATGAAGACAATGGAATGGAAGAAACGACATAGAGACAAACCCACATACTTAATAGTCATCTGTTACTTGGCAGAGGTGTCAAAAATATATGTTGGACAGGGTTGGGGTTGTGGCTCAGCAGTAGAGCGCATGCCTAGCATTTGTGAGGTGCTGGATTTGATCCTCAGCACCACATAAAAATAAATAAATGAATAAAGGTATTGTGTCCAACTACAAAATATATATATATATATATTTTGTATATATATATGATGGAGAAAAGATAGCCTTTTTAACAAGTGTTGTCAGGAAAACTGGATATACATATATAGAAGAAGAAAATTAGGTCCCTATCTTTCATCATGCACAAAAGTCAAAGTGGATCAAAGATTTAGGAATTAGATCAGAAACTTTGCAACTGCTAGAAGAAAACACAGGGTCAACATTCCATCCTCTTGGTGCAGGCACCAGCTTCTTTAACAAGACTCCAAAGCTCAAGAAATGAAAACGTCAGTAAGTAGAATGTCATTCAACTAAAAGAGTTTTGCATAGCAGTCAGGGAGTAAGATGAAGAAATTGCCTATAGAGTGGGAGAAAGTTTTTTCCAGCTAGTCCTCTGACAGGGGATTGATCAATAGCCCAAATATATAAAGAACTCAAAGAATTCAATGTCAAAACCTCAAATAACCCAATCAATAAATGAGCAAAAGAACTTAACATTTCTCAAAAGAATAAAATACAAATGGCCAACAAATATATGAAAACATGTTCAACATTCTAGCTATCAGGGAGATTGCAAATCAAAACTATACTAAGATTTCATTCTCACTGTAGTCAGAATGACACATATCAAGAAAACAAATATAAAAATGCTGGGGCTGGGGTCAGCTATAGAGCGCTTGCCTAGCACGTGCGAGGCACTGGGTTTGATCCTCAGCACCACGTAAAAATAAAGAAAGGTGGGGCTGGGTTGTAGCTCAGTGGTAGAGCACTTGCCTAATGTGCGAGGCGCTGGGTTTGATTCTCAGCACCTCATATAAATAAGTAAAATAAAGGTTCATTGAAAACTAAAAAAATATAAATTATAAAAAAGAAAGGTATTTGAAAAAAGAGTTAAAAATGCTGGCAAATTTAACACGATCACACTGTGCATGTATAATATGCCACCTTTTGTGTACCACATTGTTGGTGGGACTGCAAATTAGTGCAACCACTCTAGAAAGCAGTGTGGAGATTTTTTGAAAAACTAGGAATGGAACCACCATACAGCCCAGTTATCCCACTGCTTGTTGTTTTTCCTAAAGTACTAAAATCAGCCTCTGTGACTAAAAGACCTGACAAGAACAGTTAGAGGAGGAAACGTTTATCTGAGGCCTCATGGTTTCAGAGCTCTCAGTTCATGGATGGCTGACTCCATTCCCTGGGGCTCCAGGTAAGTGGCAGGGGAAAGGGCTCAGGACATCACATCAGGAAGCAGAGAGAGAGAGAGAAGGACTCTACACACCAAAGGAATGCCCCCAAAGGGACTCCCCCAGCGACCCACCTCCTCCAGCCACACGGTACCTGCCTTCAGGTACCACTCAGTTGATCCCTGTCAGGATTAAATCACTGATTGGTTAAGACGCTCATAACGCAGTCATTTCACCTGTAAGCCTTCTTGCACGATCTCACACTTGGGCTTTTGGAGGACACCTCATATCTAAACCATAACAGTAGGGTTACACCACATAAATGTTAATAGCTGCACAATTCACAATAGCCAAGTTACAGAACCAACCAGATGCCCATCAGCAGATGAGTGGATTAAACAAATGTGTACGTACACAGTGGAATTTTACTCAGCTGTAAAGAAGAATGGAATTATGGTGTTTGCTGGAAAATGGATGGAAATGGAAACATCATGCTATGTGCAAGAAGTCCGAAAACCAAGGGTCAAATGTTTTATATATGGAATCTAGAGAAAATAAGGGGGGGAAGGAGAGAGGGATTGGATATAAAAAATATCGGGAAGATCAGTGGAGTAGGAGATGGAGAGGAAGGGAGAAGGGACAGGAAAGGAGAGAAAATGTGGAATGAATTTGACAAAACCACACTGTGCATGTATAAGTATACCACAGGGAATTCCACCTTTAAATGTAGAAAGCATCAACAAAAATAAATGAGTGAAAGATCGGTAGAGTAGGGGAAGGGAGGGAGGACGGTAAAGGGGAGAACAGGGACTGAAATGGGGTACATAACATTCCATGCATGTGTGACTTTGTCGAAATGAACCCAACTTCCATGTATAACTATAATGCTCTAAAAAAAAATAGGCATCATTCACTTCAGATAAAAAGAAAAATAAGGCTCACTATGATCTTATCTACTCCTTTTAACCTCTGATGTAATAACTTCAAATTACAGAGTATCACAAAACATTGACTAGGCAGCTGGTCTGTTTTCTTAGGTGGGAGTGACCTCGCAGAAGACAATGAAGCTACTTCCTGCGTCAAGACATAGAGCGGCACAGAAGGTACTGTGGACACCTCGCTTACCTCTCCTCACCTCCCCTTCCACCAGGGAGTTAGTCTTGTTAAAATGAAAATGAATTTCTTTTAATTTGAATGAGGTTTGACTACCAAGGCACATTTAGACATAGTAATTTTCTTGGACATTTTAAAAATTATTCTGTACATTTAGTAAATAGTATAATAAACTTGTTAAAAACTATATTCCATTTTTCTGGCAATAATTTGTTCTAAGTGTACCAGATTGTGTATATGGAAAAAAAAATATAAAGCATATCAGAATGTAGAGAAAATTCTTTCCTTAAGCTTTATCATATTTTTAAGTCATTTATTATTTTGATGTTGAACTTTGTATTTAGTTAACACTATTGCTTTTTAATAAAAATAAGGTCTTTGAACCTTTACATGTTTAAATTATGAAGATCTCAAAGAATATTATGTAGGGTGTATCTATCAAAACTTAAATTTAAGACTAAGAAATGTTAAAAATATTTTTAAAATGTATGTTTATATACATAACACATTTTTTTTTATTGTGGGTTGTTCAAAACATTACAAATTTCTTGACATATCATATTCCACACTTTGATTCAAGTGGGTTATGAACTCCCACCTTCACCCCATACACAGATTGCAGAATCACATCAGTTACACATCCATTGATTTACAAATTGCCATACTAGTGTCTGTTGTGCTCCACTGCCTTTCCCATCCTCCACCCTCCACCCTCCCCACCTCTCCCCTCCCCTCCCCTCCTCTCTCTCTACCTCCTCCACTGTATAACCCTGAGGGTCTCCTTCCATTACCATGCAATTTTCCTTCTCTCTCCCTTTCCCTCCCACCTCTCATCCCTGTTAAATGTTAATCTTCTTCTCCTGCTCTTCGTCCCTACACTGTTCTTAGTTACTCTCCTTATATCAAAGAACACATTTTTATTGAAAGTATTTTTTTCTAAAATAATTTAGTAAGACTAGTGATATGATGTTATATTCTTGCAAATTCTTTAGTCTCAGGCATAAGCAAACGCTGAGTTCTCATATCTGTTTTCTACATTCAGTCTGTTGTGATATGTTGTTTGGTTGAAATATGTGAAGAAAACTCAGCTTGTCCAGATATGTAGCTGGAAATGGGAAAGGTATTTAGATATCATTTTCAGATGATTCTGACTATTCTCTTCCCATTTGATACTACACTTAAACTTGATGATGTGGTTTCTTAAACATTAGTGCAGTGTAGAATCTGAAACCATTTAATGAACTTTTAATAGTAAAGGGAATGTTAGATTTTTACCATTCCGTTACAGGTGGTTATTGGAGATCATGATGGAGTAGTCCTGTGCTTTGGCATGAAGAAAGGAGAAGCAGTGGTAAGTGCAGTCTTTTTAGACGGGAAAAGTTTTTTAAAAAGACAAATGTAGTACTTTTTTTTTTTTAAATACTCCTAGGTTAAGAATTTTCTACAGTACAGAGAATGGAAAGTGGGTTGTGAGGGAAGGTCTGGCTTGTTCCCAAAGTCCTTGCCAAGTGGTCCATGCACCTACAACCCAGTGGCCTTTCAAGTAAGCAGGAGAGTCTCTTAGAGTGTGCAGGTGGGGTCTTATGAAGCATACTGTGAGAGTGGAAGCGACTGTCCTGTCGCCTTGCCCCTTAGCTAGCCCAACCAAGGTTTCATTATCATACTCAAAGGGGACACATGCTCCATCTGAGATGGGAGCTTGGGTACTCACTGTGTATTACATGGTATTTAAAAAACAGATGAAGAGAGTTAAAACTCCCAGAAACACCCCCTCTCCATTGTTCACATAGCCTCCCAGAAATCTCACTTTCTGTGTATGAATCATGACAGGGAGGGGGACTGGTGCAAATGATAAATGGAAAACACGCGAAAAGACAGTGATCAGAAATGTTGTTTTTAGTTAGAAATATGATAAGGTATTAAAATATTCTTTTCAGTAAATTCTATAGTTAGTCCTTTACCAAATTTTTAAATAAAATTGTACAAAGTTTAGGTGAGATTAGTTTCAAAAACATGGTTATGGTACGAAACATGTCCATTGAACCTTAGTAAAGAGTTTGCCAAGTGGACTTTCCTGTAGAACCAGTCCTTCTCAAGCTTTATCCTGTATAGGAACCAGCTATGGAATCCTGTTAAAATGCAGATTCTCACTCAGTAGGTCTGGATTGGGTTTAAGAGTCTGCCTTTTTAATGAATTTAGCAATGCTAATCATACTGCTCTGCTATGTGAACACTGCTTTGAGTTGCAAGGATTTAGGAAAAGGTTGGGGGAGCCATGGGTCTCATGAAAATAGAAGGGAGGTGGAGGGTGAGAGGAGGGAAAAGGAAGGTACTGGGGAATGAAGTTGACCAGATTGTGTGGCACGCATGTACAGATATGTCACAATGAATTCCACTACGTATGATTACAGTGCTCCAATTAAAAAAGTATCAGGATGAATACGCCAGAGTTTAAGGATATCTAGCACAAAACCAGAAGACCCCCTAAAACAAATAGATTTTTTTTCTAAAAATGTTTCTATATAGTTTCTATAAAAGTTTCTGTAACTTTATAATGTTTTGTAAGTTCAAAATCATAGCAGTTTTTTATGGTAAAGGAAAGAGGTTTACAATACAATGACTTGTATACTTACTATTTGTGAATGATTTTTTCAGGCAGTATTCAAGACCTTACCAGGGCAGAAGATTGCCCGACTGGAGCTGGGAGGGGTTCTTAATACACCTCAGGAGAAAATCTTTATTGCTGCAGGATCTGAGATTAGAGGCTTCACCAAGAGAGGAAAACAGTTCCTCTCTTTTGAAACGAACCTCACTGAGAGCATTAAAGCTATGTATGTTCATTGTACATATCTATTTTCAATGTTTCTAGTAGACATAGATCATTTGATTAAATGTCATATCTTAAGTTTTCTGGAAAATAAAATTGACTACTTTACAGATGTTCCACTGGAAACCATATTTGCTTTTGAATATTTTTTGTTGTTGTTGTTAAAGAGCTTTATTATATAAACATATTCATTTGTTGTTTTTTGGATTTTTGTTTCCTGCACCACTTGGATTGGTTTGAGGACACTCTACTGCTGAGCTGTATCCCCATCCCTTTTTATTTATTGTTATTTTGAGATGGGGTCTTGATAAGTTGCACAGGCTGACCTTGAATATGTGGTCCTCCTGCTGGCCTCAGAAGTGGTGGGATCACAGGTGTGAGATCCTTCTGCCTTGTCTCCCCAGTAGCCATGATCTCTCCAGTGGCCCTGCTCTGGGCATTTCTGTTTGAAATACATTTTATTTTTAATTGTAATTAATTTAATTTAATTTGTGAGGTACAGAGTGACATTTCATTGCATGTATATGATGTGTAATGATCAGATCATTATATAGTAATATTCAGAGCCAAACAGTAAGGCCATGTCATCATGAAGTGAGGGGCAGTACAGGGTAAGCATATCACAGGGTGATTTTTAGTATTGAAAACTCTTAAAGGGACCATAGGGGTGGAGAAATAGATGAAAGTCCCAGATAAAATTATCTTCTGGATAGTCACATGGTGATAATCTAAAAGTGAAAGATATACATGTTTATATCTTTATTGCTGCAGGATCTGAGATTAGAGGCTTCACCAAGAGAGGAAAACAGTTCCTTTCTTTTGAAACGAACCTCACTGGTCTCAAATGCTTGGGACCACATTCCAAAGCTTTTCAGATTTTTCAGATATTTGCAAAGACTATCAGTTGAGCATCCCTTACCTATAAATTTGAAATGCTCCAAGGTCTGAAACTCTTGGAGAATTATGTTAATACAAAGTTTGGGGTTCAGGATTTTCAGATTGCTTAACCTGCATTCCAATAGCATATATGAAAAATATAAATTTTTATCAAGAAATTTCAGCTCCACCAAGAGAATACTGTATGTATTCTAAGAATTAGAACATCATTATGATTATTACCAAAATTTTGTTAAAATAATTTGAAATGAACTTGCTTCTCATTTCTTTATTCCAAATAAAGTTCTAATGGAGACATTCTCCACTGCTTGTCATGTAGTTTACAATAGATTCACTTTGAGTAGGCTTTTCTGGGCCGTCTAGTGTGGTAGTAAGAAAGCTTAATTCTAGAGGTCAAAGTGCCTGCTTGCTTTGCAGCCCACTCCACTGTCACTGGTTGTGAGTCAGCAGGCTGTTCCTCCCCCGGGAGCCGGTGGTAGTCAGTAATCCCAATTTACAGACCATGGGGGTCGATTTACACGGAAACCCCCAGGACAGTGCTTGACAGGGAATGTCCTACACATTTAGAAACTTTCTTTTTTGGTGTTTCTTCACATAGAAATTATCATTTTTGTTTTCAGTTTTTCTGAGCTTAGTTTGTACTGCAAAACCTTAAGCTTTAAGATCTTCATTTTTATCTTACAAAATAAAAAGGTAATATCAAAAAGGCCAGAAATTAAGTGGGGAAATGAAAAAAAGATTGTGTTCTCTAAGTCTGTGGTAACTTTTGTTTTCATTTCTGAGAAAAATTCAAGAATTAACCTGTGCTTATTTTTTAAATTATGGAGGTCTGAAATTACTATTTTAATGTTCTCAGGCACATATCTGGCTCTGACCTCTTTCTCAGCGCAAGTTACATCTATAATCATTATTGTGACTGCAAAGACCAACATTATTACCTTTCTGCAGACAAAATCAATGATGTCATCTGCCTTCCAGTGGAAAGAGTACCTCAGATTACACCCATCTTGGCCTGCCAGGACAGAGTGCTCAGGGTTTTACAGGTGGCTATTTGCATTTTTGTGACTTTTCATAATCTAAGTAAATGAATAATTATGAGTATTGTTATAAATTATTTTAACAATTACTACTTTTGTCCTGTATAAAGTTGTATATGAAAAACACTTTTTAAATTTAATTGATAAGTTAATTTGTTTAGTTGGGGCAAGTGTGTTGAGATCTTTTGCAAGAGAGCATATGTGGAAGAAAAAAGGACACCTTCTCCCCCTGCCCCAGTTTCTGACCTGGCACAGTCGTAGCAGAGAGCTTTTGCTACAGAGAGCCTCCAGCAGCATTTCCCCTTTCTTTCTTCATCACTCTCCTCTTCCCCAGAAATCAAACTCAAGGAAGACATTAGGTTAGGGAGAGGGTGATATTTAATTTGAGTTTATCCAGCATTTTGACAGTAGGTAGAATGAAGCAAGTTTGTTGGATAAGTAGGTAAGAGAGGGAAAATCACTTTGGTGTCCTCACATTTCCAGGGAGATGCTTGATGGCTGACACAGCTGTTTCAGGTCATTGCTGTTAGTGACCACTGTGTCTCCTGGAGGTGGTCTCCTGAAAACCCTTGGAGTTTACTAGGTAGCTGGAAGGTTCGTTGGATCGGTATTCGATAGTAGTTGGTACAGTTAATCCAGGCTTGAGCTCTGAATTCCCTGCTGCCTCAGGCAGTCTCACCTTTGCAGTTCCACAGCCCGGTGGCTGTTTCTTGGCATCAGCCCTTTGTAGAAGGAAAAATCCAGTGATTCCATACCCCATCAGAGGCAATCAAAGTAAGTCTGGTTCATTCTAGAGGTTCGAAGGCGTTATTTGTCCCCTGGCTTGGACTTCCAAATGTGAGTCATTTGAATAGCCTTTTTTTGGGAGCTGGTGAGTATTCAGTCAGAGATTGCTCTGGCAGAATTCTAGGATTCTGCTTTGCTTAACCAAAAGGAATCTATACTCTTTATTATGCAGACAACCAAGGGTTTGTGGACAGTGAGCAATTGGAGCTTCTCCTCTACCTTGCCCTCTTCCCTTATGCCCCATCTTGAGGGCAGTTCATTACCTTAGAGGTGGCTTCTTTAGAGTTTTGTGTATGTCCTCTTGTGTTCATGTAGTTGTGTATACATATCTAAAGATTTAAAAATGATAAAGATAAGGCATATAGATCTTATATTCTAAATACACATTAAATATTTTTAACAAATATTATACCATATTTACTATAATTTTGCAAACTGTTTCCAGTTTACTTATATGGCAAAATTAAAAATGAGAAAAGGACCTAACTTGTTTTCTTACCTAAATATCAGATGATTCTGCCTCTAACTGGAGTGATTTGGGGACTACCAAAAGAAAGGCTGCACTTTTCCTTAGGCAATAACTTTGGGCCTGCTCAAATGTTTGAGTGTGCTTGAAGTTAAACCAGTTAATACCAGAATGGCAGAAGAAATAAACTTGTTCCTAGTGAGTTTTGAAAGGAAAATTTACCATTGTAAGTTTTCTATCAATCAGTGTATTCAAAATGAAAAGTGTGACAGTGAAGAATATTTTGCATATTTTTCTCCTTGGTCTTTGCATTTTATATATATTTTATTTTCAAATGTGTTAATACATGCAGAGTTGCTAACAAATGGAAGTTGGTGCTGCTGACCTGATTTTTATCAGCAGTTTTATTTTAGATGTTATCAAGAATATAGATGTTTTCCATGAATGAATATGTGGGGATGTGTGTGTGTGTATGTGTATGTTTGTATGTTTTTCTTTATGTGGTACTGGGGGTTGAACCCAGGAGTGTTCTACCTCTAAGCTACTTCCCCAGCCCTTTTTTTTAAAAAAAAAAAAAATATATATTTTTGAGACAGGGTCTTATTAAATTCCCCAGGCTGGCCTTGAACTTGGGATCCTTCTGTCTCAGTCTCCTGAGTAGCTATGATTATAGGCAGGTGGAACCAGGCCCAATTTTATTCTATATTATTTTAAATTTGTGTTCAGTTTCAGTTTCTAAATATATATTCTTCTCAGGGTTCTGATGTGATGTATGAAATTGAAGTTCCTGGCCCACCTGCTGTCTTAGCACTGCACAATGGAAACGGAGGTAATCAGGGGTTCACTTTTCACAATTAACTGTGTTTATAAAATACATTAAGTGAAAATGGGAATTGTAGAAGGAAGATGAACTAAAATTGAGACATTTATCTTCTGATAACTTGCCAGTAACTCACAGTAAGGAGTCATTGAACTTTAATTTTCAGTTTCATCTTAACATTAGATGTCGGGGACTGGGAGGTGGACTTCTCTCTTGAGCTACAAAATCCTGTGAATATATAACAATTCTCCCAAATCATTTCCTGCCTTAGGATATTTAAATGAGGTTTTTACATGAAAATATTTTAATTTTAAAGAAATGTCACTAATGTTTCCTCTAATTATAACTAGGCAACTCTGGGGAAGACCTCTTGTTTGGAATGGCAGATGGGAAGCTCGGGCTTATTCAGATCACCACCTCCAAGCCAGTGCACAAGTGGGAAGTTGGAAATGAGAGAAAGCGGGGAGGTATGGTGTCAACGAAGCTCAGATCCTGAAACACCCGTAACTGTTAAATTAAAAAGGTCATGCAATTTACTGTTGTACTTATTCGTATTATATAGTAGCCCTATGTAATAGGAGAGCCACCTCTGGTTTACGTACTGTTTATTCATCAGGTCTCTCACTGTAGGTATAATATTTTTTAAAATAAGAAATGCTAGTAATACTTTGGGAAAATATGCTGTGGTAAAATTCTTTGTTAACTGTCCACGGTAGGCAGTTAATGGGACCTGAGAGTGACTGGTACAATGCAAGGGAATCCTGTGCTGTCTCAGGGGACTCCGTGCCTGACTTGGGAGGTAGGGATGGTTTCTTACACATACAGGATGCTCATACACTTATCCCCTTCACAAGTACTTGTCGGGAGAGATAAGGCCTGGCCTTGTCACATGAAGAAGACACAACAGAGCAGTATGTTAAGAGAGTACTGAGAGAAGGGGAGCTGCTTTTAGACTGCGTGGTCCAAGAAAGTGTCTTAGAAGAGGTTGAATTTGAGCTGAACTCTGAAGAGGAAAAAGGAGGGTGTGGAGATTTGGAGGGGAGAGAGTTTTGCAGGAGGAGAGGTGGACTCAGTTCACCTGTGGAGTAGCAGGATGACCAGTGTGGCTACGTCCACTCACAGGGTGCGATGACCTGACCTGGGGGAGGTAGGGTAGGGCTGCTGTCAGCGGAGCCTTGCCGGGAGGTCGCAGTGGGGAGTCGCTGGAGAACTGCCGTTGGGGGCGGGATGTGATTGAGCCCCCAGAAGAGACTACACTGCATTGAGAATGGATTGGGGAAGCAGGTTACAGATACACAAATAGTTCCTGTATACCTTTCACCCAGCTTAATGTTAAAATCTATCACAAGTACAATACAAGTATGAAAACCAGAAAATCAGAGCTGGGGCTGTAGCTCAGTGGCAGAGCGCTTGCTGAGCCAGTTTCTCACTCTTATTTGGTATATACATGACTCAACTATTAGTTTTGTAATAACATCACATTTTTTTAAAGGTATTTTGTGTATTGACAGCTTCGATATTATGGGTGATGGGGTTAAAGATTTACTTGTTGGGAGAGATGATGGAATGGTGGAAGTGTACAGCCTGGATAACACAGAGGAGCCTGTTCTGCGATTTGACCTGGTAGGTTGGTCCAGAGGATTCTCCATCTATGTGTTTATTCCTTGTCAGGTTTATAGAGATGACTAAGGGCTGAATTTTATTAAGGAAAATAATATTGAAATCTTATGTTTGGGGCTGGGATTGTGGATCAGTGATAGAGCATTTGCCTCACACATACGAGGCCCTGGGATCGATCCTCAGCACCACGTTAAAAAAAAAAAAATAAAGGTATTGTGTTCATTACAACTAAAAATATTTTAAAAATCTTATGTTTGGTCTGAAACATTTTGATGTTATCAAAATTTCTAGACTACTCGTTTGAATAATAGACTGTTGCTTCTAAACTGAATATTGAATTACTATTTCATTATACTTTTAAACCTTTATAAATTTCTCAAGTAGTAAGTGGTTTATCTGAGTTTCTATAATGCATAGCAACACATTATATAGCAGTTACCTTTCTAGTTTGAGTTTCATGAATGAGAATATTGTTTTAAAATCCAAGAATAAACTGCACACCATTAGGGCAGTATCAGAAATATCCTTAAACAGAGAGGAACAAGTAGCAGTTTTGCTTATAGATACTCAAGAGCCAGCTGTGAAAGAAATACTAGATAAGAGTAACTTGTTTACAAAATTTAAATGTAATTAAGTCTGTTTATGCTGCTGAGGTATAGAATCACATAGAAAAGCATTCTGGCATGAACAGAATCATATTTTTCCATTTGTGTTTTAAGTATTTTAGATTTACTTGAAATGATATTTAAAAATAGGAAATTGAATATATTAACAGGGAATCATGAAGTGATTTGATAATGTGTACATTGTGTAATATTTAATCAGATCAAACATTTCTCCTCAAGCATTCTCGTTTCTTCATGGTGAAAACAGTGAAAATCCTTTCTCGTAGCTTTTTGAGTAATGGTCACCTGCCACCCTGCTGTGCAGGGCACACCAGAGCTGTGTGTGTGTGTTTATGTGTGTGTGTGTGTGTGTGTGTGTGTGTGTGCACGCATGTGCGTGCTGTGACCTGGGTTCCAGGACTTCCTTCTCCTGTTTACTGTAGCTTGTACGCACCAATCAGCCTTTGCCTCTCTGTCTCCTCCTACCTCCTACCCCTAGGAAGCGGTCCTCTTAACTTGTATGAGATCCACATTTTATGTCTCTCATACAAGTACGATCACTTGGTACTTGTCTTCCTGTGCTGATTTCCTGTAATGTGACGATTTCTAATTCCGTTTGCATGGTCTGAAGTACATTCCATGGTGTAAGTGGAATCTTTCGTTTTCATGAGCTGGCGTATTAGACCATATTTTTGTTCTTGTGTGAAATACCTGAGGCAGGCTTCTTTATAGGGAAAATAGGCTTAGTTCAGCTTGTGTTTCTGGAGGTCCAGTCTGCGGGCCTCATCTGTGAATGGCCTTCTTGCTGGTAGAGTCGCCTGTTGAGGCCTCAGGTCCCCTCTTCGATGTCTGTCCAAAACCTCAGCAGTGACAGCATTTATCTGCTCTGCCAGGTCTGGCACTAAGGCCTCGCCCACTGTCCCTCCTGTTTTCTAACAGGAGAGGTCCTGGCTTCAGAGCTTACTGTGAAAATGGAAAAAAAAAAATGGGAATATGCTTGATGTTACACCAGTCTTATTCTAGCAATATGTAATATCAGTGGCAATGCATGAATAAATTGGAAGGAATAAAGCATCTCATTTAATCTCATGAGATATATATATAGAGAGAGATCCTTCAGAAATTTTCTTTTGTGATTAAATATTATATACTAGAGCTTGTGTATTTGTCTTGATCAGATGTGACACTAATAATTATGATGGAAATTTCCAGTGTTTGTAATTATTATCAGAATTTCTAATCCTTAGGACCTTATGATCACAGAAGATAATTTATATGTGTGTATATATGTTTTGGGGGCGGTTTTTTTTTTGGTACTATGGATTGAACCCAGGGGTGCTTAACCACTGAGCCACATCCCCAGCCCTTTTTTATATTTTGTTTAGAGACGGGGTCTTGCTAAGTTGCTTAGGGCCTCGCTACATTGTTGAAGCTGGCTTTGAACTCATGATCCTCCTGCTTTAGCCTCCCAAGCCTCTGGGATTACAGGTGTGCACCACCATGCCTGGCCTCATTTATATATTTTCTCGTTGCAGAAAAGCATAAAGGAATTTCAAGCACATGATTACATTAAGATAAAAGTATGTGAAGTGAGTGAAATGAAAATACAAGTTAAAAGAGAAAAAGGAAAAATGTAAAATTTTCAACCATTAAGGATTTATTAAATCTACATTTTTTTCTTTTTTCTTTTGTGGTACTAGGTGTTGAACCCAGGGACAATTTACCACTGAACTACATTTTCAGACCTTTTTTCTATTTTTGATTTTGAGGCAGGGTCTTGCTAAGTAGCTGAGGCTGCCCTCCAACTTGAGATTCTTTTGCCTCAGCCTCCCCAGGCACTGGGATTACAGGTGTGCACCACCGTGCCCAGCTTCTCCAAATTTCAATTATATGCGTAAATTTGTCCCTCCTTGGTGCACACCTATAACCTCTGGAGGCAAGAGGATCACAAGTTTGAGGCTAGCCCAGGCAACTTATTAAGACCCTGTCTCAAAAAAAGTGGTGTGGGGTGTAACTCAGAATGCTTGCCTAGTGTGTGTGAGGCCCTGGATGCAATCTCCAGTATCACAAAAATAACAGAACTCCCACTGGTGGGTTGCCAATGCATTTTTTAAAAAATCAGAGTATAACTGCAAGACTCTTAAGTTACATGTGTTGTGTGTATTCACATGTGAATATATAACAGTTAAAAAATTATTGCTGCTTTCCAAATAGCTTTAACCAGTACTGACTTACAGTGCTGGTTGACTCACCTGGTGATGATTATTGTTGACAAGTTTGGGAAGTATTGCTTAAAAGATGATATTATTTACAAACTTCCAGAAGTACAGTCTTTGTAACTATGTAAAATTGTGATGAAAAATCTAGTTGCTAACTTAAAGATGTACAGGAGGATACATACTTTTGTTCATCTAAAAACTCTTCTTTTAGAGAAAACAAATAAGAGGTGATCTAAAGTAGTTTTACTTTTGTAATTTATTTTTAAAAATATCCTTTCATTATGTAAATAAATTATTTTTTTCTCATTAGATATTTATAGTGTTAGCCAAGTGTGAATCGCCTTTTAAAGGGAGTCATTTTAATCTTCTTTTCCAAATTTAAAACTGTTGGAATTTTCTGGGATTTGTTTAAGGTTTTGTGTTTCTAATCTCAGCATCTACACATAATAAATAGACACTCGGTAAATATGTGTTGAATGTCTGGAGACAGGATAATGAATTTTGGCAGCTTGCTTTGACTACCTTTGAAGTTTTCAGCTTATTAATAAAGTGCTTGGTCTTGATTTATTTTAGGCATTGTCTGAGAGTGTCACGTCCATCCAAGGTGGTTGTGTAGGGAAAGACGGTTATGATGAAATCGTGGTGTCCACCTACTCAGGTAAAGAACGGTGAAGAACCAGGGACCAAGGTCTAAATGCATGTTCTTTTGATGGCTACTTTTTTGAGAAGTATTATTAGTAAATCCTTCCTATAGAATTATTAGAGTTATTGGTTAAAGAATGAGGAGGTGGGCTGAGGGAGGCGGTGGTGGGGAAGCACTCGCTGGCCTGAGCCAGGGTCTGGGCTCCATCCCCAGTAAGTAAGCAGAGGAGGAGGAGTGGCCTTGTCCATTGGATTGATGAAGTGTTGATGTTTGACTAACCCTTTTTAAGAGCACTTAGCATGTTTCTACTAGCTTTGAAAAGTAAGTGGCATTCTTTGTTAGAAGAGAGCTATTTAGAAATCTAGTTGGCTTTGGACTGTGTGCTTGTCTTGTAAAAACTTGTTTGCTTTTGAGCATTGAGTTTTCCGTTCTTACCAATTTCATGAGAGTTTAAATCTCCTTAAAAGTGATTTTCGAAAGGCGATGCTTACTTGTCACTTTTTTGAATTTGCTAAGATGTTCTGACTTACTCCATACTTGAAAACTAGAACTATTAAGAATAGAAAGATACCGTTAAGCATAGTATTATAGTATTTCAAGCAAAAACAGTATCACAAATTGCTTAAATACTTTTTTTGGTTTGAATTCTTTCCAGCTTGGTTTTGTGTTTTGCTGTGTTACAGCTGAGTTAGGTTGATAGTGGTGGACTAGGGGCTCACGCTGTCAGTACCTAGCAGCACTGACTGGTGCGTGACTGTTCTCATCTCTACAGGTTGGGTCACAGGTCTGACAACTGAGCCTGTTCATAAGGAAAGTGGACCAGGAGAAGAGCTCAAGATCAATCAGGAGATGCAGAGTAAAATTTCTTCTTTACGGTAACTTTTGAGTTGTGTGTTTCATTTCAAGTGCTGGTTGCTGCTTACCATTTACAGATACATGCACTGCATTTTATTGGAAGGCATTGTCACCTTTTAATGTGGAAGTTCATTGGTTTGAGACAATTAGCAGGGAGTGTTGATGAATATGTTGGATTCAGAGCTCCACCTTTTCAGTGCATGATCCCATACTGACTCTCGGATAGAGAACTGTGTGTTCCCATCTGTCAGAAATGGTGGCTGCAGTGTTTTGCCTACCCCACCGCCCAACAGACATCAGAAAGAAACCCAAATAGGCGTGTTGTTTTCTCCATTTCTCTGTAGCTCCAGCATTCACTGTTGCTGTGCACATAACTTTGGCTCATGAGTTTTCTACTGGAACTGAATGCTGCCTCCTGTAGGTACAGGATTTGCTCTCATGGCCTGCTCAGTTCAACGCTTCTTTAAGAAGGAACCGCAGACTGCAGGAGGCTACTTCCCACAGTGAGGAAGTGGCGTGGCCAGTCACTGAGTTTCGGCCACCTCCAGGGGAGGGAGGCCTGATCTGTATTTTGGTGATGATCAGAGGCTACAGGAGCTTCTAAGGCAGGAAGGCCCCAAGTTCCAAGAGCACAGGCCAGTTCCCCAGGGCCACCAGGAGAGCCACCTCGTATGTTCACGCAGACTGGTCTGCCGCGTACACGCAGAATGCCAAGTTCATGCAGTGGGAGTGCTGGGTTCGGTGACTGCCTTGCATCCTCAGCACAGTACTTTTATTTATAGCCAAATCTTGCCTTCCTGACTCCTCTGGGATGTAAGCTCCAGGCGCCAGGCTTATATTTGGTTCATTCAGCACCTGGAGCACTGCTAGGTACAGAGAGGTAAATATGTGATATGCAGAGTAAATACTTCCTGGTGAATGCATCTTTTCCTCCGTTCACCGCACACATCCCTTCCACACTTCTCCACGTTCCTTTCCCCCTAAACCAGGTTGATCTTCCCATCATTGTTGATTCCATCTGCATGTGGCCTTTCCCTAGGCAGTGCCTGTGCCGGTCAGTCTCAGCGGGACCTGCTCTACCGTTTGGTAGAGCTGATGCTGGGCCACTGGCCCAGGTTCATCCCTGTGGTCACCAAAATGTGAATACTCAGCAGCTGCTCCGTGTTTTGTCTTCCTGCCCTAATCACACCGGAGGTGCATGTTGGCTGGCGTTTCTTGTTATTAAGTCCAGAACATTTTCCTGCCATATTCCTTTTTCTTCTGCCTAGTCCTAGATGTAGCTGTAGCCATACTCCTGAGCTGGAGTTGACTGGTTGTAACCTGCCTGGGTACTCACGACTCTTTATTCATATTTCTGGTATGGGACTGAGTAGATGCTTTAATTTGGGGCTTAGGAATAAATGATGTGGAATCAATTGGTCAGAGAAACTAAAATTTTATTCCTACTGATGGTATAGTTCTAGCCCAACCAATGAAAACCCCATTTTACAGAAGTAAATGTCTCGAAAATTTCATGCATTTCTAAGGACTTCAGATGTTTAAAGATGACAAAGTTGTATGTCTTTTCTTCTAGGCATGAGCTGGAACATCTGCAGTATAAGGTGCTACAGGAAAGAGAGAACTATCAGCAGTCTTCTCAGTCAAGCAAAGCAAAGTCAGCAGCACCTCCATTTAGCATAAACGACAAGTTCACATTAAATAAAGATGATGCCAGCTACAGCCTCATCCTAGAGGTGCAGACCGCAATAGACAACGTCTTAATACAGGTCCGCAGAATGGCTAGGTTCTTGGTTTTATGACTGGATCTGTTTTGTACTCAAGTCATATGCACTTATTATTATTGAGCACGTTTAGTTTCAAATGGTAATTTTAAATGTTTATGGCTTCTTAATTTTCCATGAGGTAATCGGTTTGCTCGTAGGTTATTTGAATGTTATCTTTACTTTTGAGTTATCCTAAACTTAATAAACAAAAGATGGGTGAACTTCAGTTTCAAGAAGTGATAGAATAATAAGGATTTTCTTCTTTTACTATACTCTGGGAGAATCTCAACTGAGATGTGACTTAGAAAACTCTAATATTTAATGCTCTTGTTAGACCCTTTTAAAAATCTCCAAGTACTAAAATGATAATTTATAGTACAGCTTACTCATTAGCTAGGTGGTTTCTAGGTAGGTCAGTAGGGAAGACAGATAATCTCAAAGGTGAGATTTAGGGATAATAGCTCTGTTCATTTGTTTAATAGTTTTATTTACTTTTAAGTTGGAAGATACTCAGGAAGTAGAAAAAGATACTAGTAGGATGAATGGAAAATAAGAATAAGATGGAAAACCCATAAAAAGATGAGAAAATAATAAATTGGAGCAAGAAGACAAGGTTTAAGAAGATGTGGGAAGGGGTCCGATTCTTAATAAATCTCACAGACAGAAAACCCCTCAGCCAGGCTGCTCTCAAGTTGCTGCACTCAGCCTCAGGAGCACTGTCATGACCCCAGCCCTTCTCTTAGCAGCTGCTTCAGGGAGACCATAGCTTACCTTCTTCTTGTGTAACAGGTGAAGCTACAATGGATAAAAACGAGCCAGTGTAATCAGATGCCCCTGTGGTTACTTATAGCCATGGTAACATTTTTAGCACTGACGAAAATAGAAGATCATGCATTTGAGGGGATGATAAGAGATGATATTTTGTGATTCTGATAATCCAAATCAGAAAAACACAGGTGATTTTGAAATGACATTTATTCTTCATTAAATATTTTCCAGAGCTGTATGTGATCAAGTGTTAATTAAGAGAATTTATACTCTCACATTTAGAGGTGAACATAATCTAGGACACAGGCGAACCCTCAGAGAAAAGATGTTCTGTGTACGTACTGTTTGTATGTTTTCCCTCTGAGCCATTCTTTTACATGTTCACCGTAGAGCGATGTCCCCATAGATCTGCTTGACGTGGATAAGAACTCTGCAGTTGTCAGCTTCAGCAGCTGCGACTCCGAGGTGAGTGACCTGCTAGCCCTTCTGCACTTTCTGATGCCCTCTGCCTCTGACCAGGTCCAAGGCCAGGTGGTGGCTGTCGCCTCCTCTGCAGCCGCTGGGCAGGCTCCTAGCACTCCACAGACAGGCGTCTCCTGCTCCTCTTCTCTGCCTCCCACTGCAGACGCTGTGGCTGCCACCGGGAGCCTTCCTCCAGCACCAACCTCACTGCACCTTCCCTTTCCCAAAACCTTTTAAGGATCTTGTTTCTTGGTGGATGTGGATCTAGATTCCCCCTTCCTCAGTGTGGTATAGGAAACTCTTATGCCTCCAGCTCATCCCACCAGCCGCCACCACCCTCACGCACATAATTTCTGTTGAATTGAAGTTCTTAAGATGTCTTAATTGCTGTGGGTGCACACATCCTGTGCTGGGGCACAGTCTTTCTCTCCCCGAGCTTCCTGGCCGCCCTGCTTTTTCATCCAGCAGTCATTCAATGAACACATGCTGCACAGAGAGCCCGTGACAGGTCACAGAGCTTTGACCTGCAGATACCACTTTCTGCTGCCTGGTGCTGGACCGAGCAGTCTCCACCAGCCGTGTCCTGAGGAAGGCCAGGGGAAAGAGGCCCAGAGGGGCTGTGGGGAAGGCCAGCCCGAGCAGCACTAGGGTAGCGGTGGGTATGTTTTGAAAGGGAGGAATCAAAGAATGGGCAAAGAAAAAAGCTCATAGCTATTTGAAGGAAATATTTTAAAACCTTCCTTCATGTTCCATAAGAAGGTTATAGCTTCTTAGAAAATTTATTTGGAGACTTGAAACATAAAAGTAGGGGAAGCTAACATTCCTCTCCACACTCATTACCTATCCAAGCATGTGCCTCACCCCATCCCCTCCTGAACCTAGTCCCAGACAGTTTATCTCTTTAATCTGTATTATTTTATCCATAACTACTTCAGCACATAATGGCATTTGTTTTTAATATTTGTTTTTAATATTTGGTGTATTTATTTTTAAATTGATCTGTCCTTTCTGTTCACTGAGTTGAAATGATTTAAAAATGAAAAAAAAAATGAGTTTTCTTTTTTATATTAACATCCTTTTAATTTTTTTGGTTATTTGTTAAAAACAGGAAAATAGCAGTACGTGAAAATTGTATATAAAATATTTCATATTGTTTTGTTGTTGCAATTTATGCACCTAGGTATCTTTTTCTATTTTTAATTGTTTAATTTCAAGTAATTACAATATTTGAAGGAACCATTCCAGTTTAATTCAGCAAACATGTACGCCAGGTACTGCGTTGTTTGCTGGAATCACAGAGACAATATTTTTATCTTTTCTCTGCAAGTATTTGTGAAAATCAAAGGCATTGGTCCACATGCTTTTTAAAGTAAATGTTTGACATTTGCATTGTTGGATTTTTAGAATGAACTCTTGATGTTTACAGGTTTTATTGTAGGCTCAAAGTAGAAGGAGCATGAGCCTTAGGGTCTTAGAAAAATTTGAATTCATTTCATCCCTGACTAGTTTTGGAAAATTTCCCTAACCCCTCAGTGCCGGTTTCTTTATAGATGGTAAACATTTTTATTGATGATGTTTCTGTGGTTAAAAAGCTGAATTCATGGGACTGGGGTTGTGGCTCAGCAGTAGAGCACTTGCCTAGCACGATTGAGGCCCTGGGTTCGATCCTCAGCACCACAGATAAATGAATGAATGAACGAATGAATGATTGTGGTGTGTCAACTATAACTACAAATATTTATTAAAAACAAAAACCTGAATTCATCATTTTCCCCAACTTTGAATTCTTTCCAGTCAAATGACAACTTTCTTCTCGCCACTTACCGCTGCCAAGCAAATACCACACGGCTGGAACTGAAGGTAAAAGTGTCCAACATTGAGCGGCCTTCCCCTTGGCACACCCGCGCCTGAGGTCACCTTCCCCTTGGCAC